CGGATGCAAAAAAGGAGTACGAGCCAAGCCCAGATTGTTCGTCCATGGGCGAGACAATGTCCGGGGAGTCTGACACCTTCGAGCCAGTCAAGGACGTCTCCTCTGATGAGTCAGACACCTTTGAGCCCGTGCAGGACGACTTGTCCGGGGAGAGGTTGACTAGACCACCTAGGGGCAGAATTTTGTCCGGGAAGTCGGGTTCAAAGCGACCGATGGACAGAGTTTTGTCCGGGGAGTCAAGAAACATCTCAGACAACTTGGAATATGATGTTGAGGAATCAGTCGACTCAAGTGGTGACTCGAGACCCCAGTCCTGGGACAACACGTCTGAAACAACTTCCAATTCCGATGTGTCAGAGATCGCAATCCACTCCTTATTGGTAGACTGGAAGCAGCGTGGGCTGGACCGAGAAACACATCAGGATCCAGACAGGGACAGATACACCTCAGATGAAGAGGGCACTGTGGTAGATAATGCCGCAGACGAGCTCGAGCTGATAGCAGTTTCAAAACGCCCAACCAGATTGCTGCCACATGGTACGGTCGTCCGTACCAATCTGGAACCATCTGTGCAAGAAGCGACGCCTTTGAAAAAGATATGGTGTGTCAAGTTGATGGACGATGCTCATGCTCCGGAGATAATGAGTGGGCAAATGAACGTGGTGAAGACGTATTTGAAAGCCAGGTACAGGCTGTCGGATCTCCTGAGGGCTCAACGAAATGATAGAATGACGAGCAGTCTGAAAAGATGGATCGAGAATGGAGCACCTGACAAGGGAGACTTGGAAGAAGACAGCTACAAAATCCTGAAGCAATTTTACCTGAAGAGGAAAGACTTTTTGTACCTGAATAAGGACGGAATCGTAGCCGGTAAGCGCAAGGAGGGGGACAAGGTCCTTTATAAATACAATTCAATAGTGTTACCACAGTTGTACCAGACCGAATTGCTTTTTCGCTCACATGATCAGATGGGACATCAAGGCGTGGACAAAGTGTATAACAGGATACAAAAACGATTCGAATGGCCGGGATTGAAGAAGGCTTGTGACAAATGGATAGCCGCATGCCTGTCTTGTCAACAGGCAAAGGATCCCAGGAAACTAAGGTTCCCCCTACAGTCAATAGAATCGTCAGGTTTCAACGAAGTGGTGCAAATTGATCATCAGAAAATCAGCATGACAGCAACGGGCTATAATCAGGTGCTGGTAATGATCGACCATTTTACGAAGTATGCGGAGGCAGCACCCTACATGACAGCATCGGCAGAAGAAACATGCGATCATTTGATAAACGTGTGGATAGCAAGGCATGGCTGCCCCATCACGTTCCAATCGGACAATGGCAAAGCATTCGTAGGTGATCTCACAAAAGAGTTAATGAAAAGGTCGCAGGTAGCTCAGGCCCACTCGACCACTTATCACCCGCAAACGAATGGCCTAGTCGAGAGGCAGAATCGCACACTGGTATCCATGTTGAGAGTCTACTGCTCACGCTACATGGATGACTGGGACAAGCACTTGCCGCAAGTGATGGGTGCTTACAACAGCACGGAGCATTCCACCACGGGAATAAGTCCACATATGATGCTGACGGGTCACGAAAAAGCACTCCCATTAACGTTCTTCTACCCTGAATATGAAGGGAAGAGGACAGCACCGCAAACGTACGTGCGGGACGTTATTAGAAGACAGCAGGACCTTAATGACTTATGCAGGAGGAATACGCAACAGGCGCAAATTAGACAAAAAAGGAGGTTTGATAAAAGAACAGCCAATGCAAAAGCCTACTCAGTTGGCGATTACGTCTGGGTGTTCCAGGAAGTGGTTCCACCAAAAGGAACCAAGAAAATATTAAAGAAATGGCGTGGTCCATTTCAGATAACAGAGGTGCATCAAGGAGGTCGTTTTTATCGGCTGAGCACTGGAAGAGCGGCTCATTACGTGAATATCAAACCGCACAATGCCTCGTCAGAGGATTGGTGCATCCCAGCGGACATGCAAGAGGGAGACTATTTAATTGTGGATCCTGCTTGTGAAGTGAATGAGAGGGGTACTCGCGACAAGAACGACGGGAACGAGGTGGTGGACGATTGCGATCTACCACTGGATCTCGAGTTGACTGAGCGAGTAGAGGTGGACGATGAAACTCTACCCTATGCCGAAGAAGACTGGGATTGCCCGGAACAAACCGAAATTGACAAAGTAATACAGCCTGACTTTCCTCTCACCATGGAAACACGCCAAAGCAAGAAAGGAAAAAACCAGAAGAAATACAATCCGTATGGCGAGGACTTCGTTGTAGACAGGATAGTAGTGAGTGATGTTATAGACTCGCTGGTGGGACTGGACGAAGTGGCGATGCTAGGGGAAATCGACCTTGTGAACGATATGGATCAAGATTGGATCGACGATCGATCAGAACCGGAAGTGGAGTTCGAACCAGAAGCGGAACAGACTCATGAGCAAGAACTAACAAACTTGCGCGTGCTCGAATGGCTCCACGATCTGCCGACAGATCCAAAAGAGACGATCCTGACGATTCAGGACGTCGATAGAGACGGCGTCAAATACATCAGTCATGACAATACCGAGTCCAACTGGGTCGCCCCAGATGGTCCTCTACGTGTTCCACAATCCAACCTCGGTCTCCTAGACTTTGGGCGATCGACGGGGACGTCGATGGATATTTTTGTCCGGGGAGTGGGGGTAGGACTCACCCACACCGAAAATCTCATAATAAAAAAATTGAAATCGGCAAGGGAAACCGGAGAACTAGAGACAGAGGGCGAGAATGCTAAGAAACCACCTTTTGGACGAATCTTTGAATCGTATTTTGATCTCCCGAACCACTATTCGAACAATATCGTTATAACGGACAGCGATTTCATACTCACGGAACGCACGTGCGCCATAGCGATAACTGCGGACGTAAGCTTCAAAACAGCACTAGCAGCTGACTTTAAAAGAGAGTACAAGAATATCGAGTTTTTGTGGAAACAGAGGCCTGGTGTAGGAGGAATGATAGCGTTGCCCCCTGTTGCATCACAGATACCAGGGAAATATTTGTGTTTTTTGGTTACGAAAGCTACTGATAGGCAACACGTGAACCCGGAGAGCTTGGTATTGGCCTTGACTCGACTTAGGGATTTCCTGGTTGAGAGAGGTGTGACCTCTCTCTCGTTGCCAGTTTATGATCCTAATAGGGGAAAGCTACACCCGAGAGAGTTGTACGCTCTTGTGCATGTGATATTTTCAGAGACTGACATAGAGGTTTACTTACATAAAAAATACTATCTGAGCATATGCTAAGAATTGCGCTCGGCGATAAGTGGTTTTTATTAAGTTGCTCGATAAGAATTAGAGTCAATTTTAGGTTAGGTTTTAGGTACAGTATTAGGGATTAGGTTTTTATATGATAGTATAGGTGTGTGATGTTTATGTGTTTAGGTTATGTTATTGTTATGATATGTTTTATGTTTGTGTCATCAAGGTGACAGCGCTTATTCGTGCTACTCTGACAAAGATAAAGGTGGACGATCCACCTTGGTGCTAAATTTTAAATCAGAATTGTGAAGAGAATTTCAATGGAGAGTTTTAAAGAATTGATTGATGTTGCATCCAAAAATGATGGTTCTAAGTCGCGACCTGTTCTTTAGATCTTGATTGATCGAAAATTGTTTACTGAACACTGAATCAGAGGAGACAGAAAGAAATTACACGACACGACAACAAGAATCAACACAAAAAGAAATGGGTGACACGAACGAACTCATGGAATTCCTCTCAGCGAGTCTAGGAGCGACTCTAGACGAGATCTATCAGCGGCTGATCGATTGTGATTTTACACGAGAAGACCCGGGGTTGGCGATGTTTGTGGTCGCACTCCTCAATGCACTGGGAAGAGAGGGTCGAGGGAATCGCCCTACAGAAGTCGTGTTGATGTTGGCCTTTGGTGAGTCCGGGACCGCCGAGAGAGGCCGAAACCGATTGATGAGATGGAGGCGCGGAGAGATGTCTGGCCACGACCTGGCTCGTGAGCCAGGACTAGGTGAGCAAAGGGACCACCGGCTAGGTGAGATGCCCTTGCCCGTCCAACCTGCGCAGCCACTCATTGGAGCGAAGAGACAACGTGATGGGCCAGGCCCGTCACACTCTGTCGACTCTCCAACAGCTGCTCCTCCCCTAAAGAGAGTGAGAGTGAGCGAGATAGAGATCCAGACGTCGGAGACGATTGAGACACTGGAGAAGAAGGAGAGAGATCAGAGTGAGCTGTGTGCCAAACTTCAGGAGTACAGGGCCATAGCTCGGGAGAGAGACGAATGGAAAAAGAAATTTGAAGATCTGCAGGTGGCCTACAAGGAGGATGAGATAAAGCACCTGAAGGAGCTGTATATGGCGAAGGTGAGTCAAGTGTCACCGGAAATCCTGGCGAGCATGAGGTCCTCGGAGGGATCTAACGACACACGCCCCAGGACAACAGCGCAGGAGCTGTGCGCATCGAGAGGACCTGAGGTTCTGGATTTGCGTGCATCAAGGGGGCCCGAGGCTCCTCAGCAGACACGACCGTCTGCTTCGAGTCAGAGGTTTACGATACCAGACCCTTCTGACACCTATCTAGCTCCTCAATTTCAGGAATCATTTAACCAAGTGGCCAGAGCCGCGATGGATGAGATCAACAGAGGCACTGAGCGGACACTGGCTAGGATCGTTCCTTCCCAGCGTCGTGATCATTCATCAAATAGCTCGGAGCGAGCAACCCGCACGATAGCGTGTTCTGCGCCTGGTGGAGTCTTTGAGAAGTCTCGCGTGGTAGACATCAGGAAGAATCTGATGGCACGTCATCAGTTCACGCAAGTGCCAGCCGAGCATCCTCGAGCCTGCCTGAATGACATGAGCTGGAACCCCGCCACGAACGACCAAGTAATTCCCCCAGGGAGTCGCCATTTGATCATTGGAGACAGTTTGGTGAGAGATCTGAATGAGATCTTCGTCTATGGTCAGACCACCGCTCTGTCCTTTGGAGGAGCCTCAGTGGCTCAGGTCATCAAGATGATGGAGTTCCAGAGCGAAGTTTACCTGGACACGCTGGTGATACTGCTGGGGACTAGCGACGTCTCGAGGGCCCCAGTGACTCCAGAGAACAAGTGGCCCAGGTGACAAGTGGCCCACGCTGGTGATACTGCTGGGTACCAGCGACGTCTCGAGGGCCCCAGTGACTCCAGAGAACAAGTACAGGCCTAGGATTATGGTGCTGTGTACGATACCACAGAATTCGATGGTGGGCACCGTAGTGGCAGATTTTATGAACGGCCATGTGACGCGGTGGAATGAAATGACCCGCAGTCTGGTGAGAAACAACCCTGGCGAGTTGCGACTCCTGGATCTCGAAAATATGCTGCGCATGACTGACCACATCGCGCTCACTAAAGATGGAGTGCACTTCAATACCCAACGAGGGAGGCATTGGATTAATGATGTGTTTCAGACGCAATTGAGGGAAGCGGAGCAAGAGTCGAGGGCGACCGGTTCTTTGGCTCGGAACAATTCGACCGGAGGGAGTAGAATAAGGGCAACCGTGCCCGAATCCCTCGCCAACCGTCTAGGGCCCTTGGCAACGGAGACGGTTGGAGCCGCAACCGTCGCTCCGAGCTCGAACGTGAGAGACAGGCTAGGGACTGCTCCTCCTCCCAGGCCGCAATCGATTGGAAGCCGACTCGGCAGATCGGTGGAACAGAACAACAGGAATAACTCCCAGACCGCGTCTAGGAGGAACGATTCGCCTGCCACGACAAATCCTGCTTCGACAGCAGGACCGTCTACAAGTACCGTGCCAGCGGAGGGGATCGAATCAGGCAGCAGGCTGCTTTGGAATAGATCAGATCCTAGTCATTGGGGTCAGTATAAGACGGACATGTCGGCGAAGTTGAATATGAATACCTTGACGTGTCGGGAGGATGCGATGAGAATGACTGGCGGTGAAAGTCCCACAGTGTCGCGACTTTATCGGATACCGGGTGTGGATTGGCTGCTAGCAGAGCAGGAGAAATTCAGCTCCTCGACCTCACTCCGACATGTAGACCTGGATGGATTACCTCATGACAATACCTTTGGACCTTTAAACACCCGGTCGCTCACCGACGTTCGAGATAGGACCCGGGAAAGGACACCACCTGTGCGCAAGGGCAAGTTCCAGACGGAGAACAAGCCCAATAACAAACATCACAAGATGTACAGACAATTCGCTAAACCACCCGGTCAGACGCCGGGCGAGTATTCGAGGGATTACCCCCGAACTACAACAGTGGTTGGAGACGATAAGAGATACGGGAACCTGAAGGCCCCAATAGGCGATGGCCTTTTTGCAGCTTATGACCCCTTGGACATGAAGGCTGCCAAATATCTGGTTGTGGCCGGCTCCGATTATCTCTACACGCCCCGTTCTCTATTCTGGCCCGATGTGATTTTCTTAACGGCGCCTAAACTGGACTGGGGACAGGCGATAGGCATGATGATAAGTGTACGGAGAGTGGTCAGCATGGAGCCGCAGGTAATAGTGGTTGCAGGCTCAAATGATCATCTACAAAGCAGAGGCTTATTGTCACGTCTGACGGATGGATCGATCCCGAGTAACGAAATTATAGGGGAGGCGATAATGACACTGCTCTCGGCGATGGCCGAGGTAGAGGCAGCAGCAAGACAACGTTTCACCATGAATGTGGTGAAGGTGATCTTCGTATTGTCACCAGGCTACGCTGCGTTGCCTGAACCCCTTCAATTTGTGTACACAATGGTCACGACGATAGCAGAGGGGATATTTAACGTGATAATTCCTGCCCCAAACAGAGTGGTGGACCCGGACAATTACTATCCGTCCCGATCTGAGCTTCCCGCCGTTTGGGCTGACATCTCGAATGCCATACAGGGGCTCAGAGATTGTAGCACAACTCGGTTGGTGCTAGATGAAGTTCTGGGGTTGGAGCTGTCCCACTTCGCAAGATTATTGAAGCTAAGACCAGGGGTAGGTGACGATCATCTATTAGTACAACAGGTGGCTGATGATCTCTGGTTCAGACAGATGGATCAGGCAGAGAATGAGCAGGGAAGGATGATCAGAAAGAACATGACGTCAGCAGAGGAGGACCTCATGGCAATGGCTTTGCGTACGAAGCCACACAACAACATATGGTTGTATCTGTCACCGAGGCTGTGCACCTTGGGTGAGGACGCGTTTGAGCATGCGCCGGCAATAATTAAAGAGATACACGCGTATCTGAAGAATCTACTTAATGCCCGGGAGTTGGCTGGAGGCAAGATGTTGAAACTGATGCAAGACGTAAACACGATGTCGTTGGACAAGTTCCAAGCTGACGTGCTGGCCACGAAGGCACAGTATGAACGATCAGATGCTATCTTGGGTGGAATGGGAGTGGGATGGACGCCATCTTTCCTATCGACGTGCTATCCGATGGCATCTAGGAACCTGATCGCGAGCTTCGTCAAAGACATCAGGAAGTTGTCGATTGGCCTGGTGCTAGCCTTATACGTGACATTTGGTCATGAAAACTTTGTGAAAGGACCGGCAAACCTCTTTACCCAAGCGTTGGCAGATTTGAGATTGGACGGACTCCTGACTCTGATTGCCATGACCTATGGTCGACTGGGAGATTTGCTTGTGCTATTACGTTACCCTGAACAACTACAGGGACCCAGTCGTGAGTTCAATGCACAGTTGGAAACCGCCTCGCTCAAGAAGATGAAAGACTGGAGGACTCTCCTGCTTCAATACCTCTTGCAACAGAACAGAAGCGTCACAGGAGAGGACAAGGTGGCGACGAACGCAGGCGAATGTAAGCAGTATTGTGGCATGCCCTTACTAACAGACTTAGCTGTCATGATGCGGATTGATCCGTTGGCTCTGGTCCACGGACTGAGGGAATTCGTCACAGTGGTGTATGGACCGGTGATGTCTTTTGCGTTCCCGGATGTGCAAGTTAAAGCGTACAGGAATTCAGTGTTGTACGTCAACCTGGTCTCAGTAGTGGATTGTTCCGTGCTGAATTGGGTAGAACAGAGTGAACTGAGGAAGCTGGCTAGCGACGATAGGCTGTTCGGAAGAATAGCAGAGCCAGGCTGGGTGTTGATGGACTTCAACAACCACTTCAAATGCAGAATGGGCCGTGAGGATCTGTCCCACATCCAGTTGGAATTTGAGACCAGTGGTGAAGGATACAGGAGAGGCTGTGGGAGTACCTCAATTGCCGGGAGCCTATGCCCATGCGAAAGAGAATCAACAAACATGGCTTCCTGGGTCCAGGCCGCTGCCGGACCAATGCCATCGATATCCACCGATAAGGAGGATGTTGTTGGGAGTCACATCTCCCATCACTGCCCCTCGTATTGGAGCAGCTCGTGACGCAGAGAAGAGAATGCTGAAGTGGAGTGGAGGGATGGAGCCGCGCTTCATCAGCTGGAACGTTGCTGCCGCGCATACGTTCGACTTCTCATTCCCCGATGCCTGGAGCAGGAAAAAGATCAAAGCACTACCCTCCAGGAGACCAGAGGTCTCGACTGAAACGTGGAACGAAGTATATTCTTCCGCGGATGACTTATCGAGACCGAAATGGTCAGAAGAAGCGAAAGTGGTGATGCTGGAGGTGGCAAGAGAGAGCAGAGGAGGCTCATATATAACGATAGAGGACCTGGCCCCACATGGCGAGGAGTTGGTAGAGTTCCTGGTCGATGATGAATTGTTTTATCATGCAGGAGACATGGCCGTACCGGCTCGGCCGGATTCAGGCACAGACGCGCGACAAGGACCCTCGGGACCTAGGCCGAAACCTGATGCGGACGACGATGAATTGATGGATCAGGACGATAACAATGACGGGACCGGAAGTAAGACGGAGAAACCGGGAGAGACCGATCTAGGAGCGTTGGAAAGGGACTTGCTAGAATACCGGTTCAGTGAAGACGACGATGGGGAAGTCGATGGGAGTTTATTGCTAATGGCACCATCGTCCTTCATGTCTCCTACAAAGGAGGCGTCGGCCGATCTATCTCCGATAGACCCAATAAGCCAAGCTAGAGAGTGCCGAAGCAGGGATCCGCAGAAGCTGCTTTATGAATCACCAAGGAGGAGGAAAATCGAAGAGTCAATGAAGATATCGTTCCTCAGCACATTACCAGAAGAAGAATGGGAAAGATATCAAATGGAGTTGGAAGGCAAGACAGGAGCAATCTGGAGCCGAGTAAACTTCATGGAGAAATCTTGGGACGTGATAAGGCGATATGGGACGCAGTCCATAATGAAGGTGGGATTGAACCAACCCATCATGCGTGAGGTCCTGGAGAAAATAGTGAGCTCCATGGAGTCGGATCTTCTGACCGAGTCAGTAACAGAAGACAATGCCGATGATCAGCATGTTGCAAAGAAATTACCTGTCAGACGAGCCAGGAAAGGGCTGAAGCGACTAAAAGGGAAAACAGGAAGTCGAACCATGAACCCGAGAGTGGTGAAGTCGAGAGCCAGCGCAGTGGTGACCTCTTTAACGAGCGCAGGTCGTTCAGGCGAGAGCGGGCAAGGAGATAGCGCAACGCTGACAGGGGGAGAAAAAGAGAATCTAATACCCCCTATGCTCTTGGCAGGTCTGACCGTAACCGCCACTAGATCGAAGAAGACGGCGCGACCCTGGCAGACACTAAGTTAGAAATGGAAGTCATCAGTCAATGTGGATCTGGAGGACTTGAAGATTATAGGCCCTCGCGGATCAACATGGCCAAGTTGAAACTGGAAGGACAACTCGACGTGGTCGAGTACAGTCGAATAACTGTGCCGGAATCGGTCCACATGGGAGATCCGGCAGGGGGTTATGTGGAGATGTTGAAAGCGAGGAACTCCGCGAGAGGGCACCTGATGGCTTGGAGTGAAAAGCGGGCCATGCAAGAATATCTGAAAGGGCTTACGGAGAACTCTAACTTCAATCGAAGAGAGTATGGCACAGTAATGTCATCAGAAGCGAACGAAATTGGATTGGAAAAACTGCTAGAAATTTCTTGGAGGGCGGCCCTCCAGAAATACTTCGTTGAGACGATGAATGCACCTGCTACTGTGGCAGCATACCTGGCTCATCCTTGCGTGAGAACTGATCTGCAAGTAC